AACCTTACAGGGGACAAACAGGTAACAAAAATAAGCAAGGAGGACCTGGTAAAAGACATTAGAAAGTATACCATGTTTCATTAAGGTGCAAATTTGAGATCACCAAGTGGGCAAAATTTCATACGAGCCACCAGCGTGTGTCTACTTCTCTGCTTCGACCCCTAAATTGTTCGTTCGAGATGCCTAATCCACTCCCACCCACTTCAGATCCAGCTAATGCTTATGAATCGACCTTACGCCCAGCATTACGCAAGGTGCTTTCACAGACACAACCGTTTTCAATACTCATAACCGTACCGTGAATTGTGTACTTACGTCTCTATTGATAGATGAGCAAATCGAATCCCAGAGAAGTGTAAGATGACTTGGCTAAACCCGCCATCCACTGCTCTGGAAGAACCTTGGGAAAAAGCGCCATTCCTTTGTTTCTTAACTCGAAGCCAAGTATATCAGTTCGAGTAAACTTGTTACCCATCCTCTAGTAGTTTATATACTGTTTTGTTCCCCAGGGCAATACATGATGAGTGTGTCAGCACAGATCTAAATAACTGCACAATTAGACACTCAGGGGGAAAAATAATTTAGGTCTAACTAACCAAGGCCTCTTTTGCAGAACAATACCTATAAATAATGCAGCATTTCCTGGCCCAAGCTCTTTTGGCTAAAACTCCAATTCTGTCACGTGTTAAAACTCAAACTGTCAAATCGAGGAGGTTCTGCTTAATTTCATTTCTGTCTCAAGCTTAGACAAGTGAAGAGCAAGCCACAAGAGAGTGTGAGCATACAAGTACATGCAGCTTACAGCCATTCTTTCTACAGATCCAGCTATTAAGTACCAAGCATATCTGAGAATGCTACGCTCCACAAAGCACTGCTATCCATTTCTACTTTCTTTTTAAATAAAAAATAAAAGCAACTGAACCCTCGGCAATATTATATAAAGCAACTCAATTTCTTTGACAGGTTCACTCACAGAAGAGTCCCTTATATGTGATTGCAAGCAATTAATTAAAAAATGGAAATGTACTTTTACATTTAACTAGACGTCCTAGTCTTGTCTATCACCTTGCCCGCTAACCTTTCTTCGAATATAAATATAGTTTAAATTGGTTTTGCCAGTGCCCTAGATATTTGAAAAATCCTACTGGCGCACACCGGTTATTAATTCATGGTCCCTAATTCTAAGCCTTACTACAGTCTTAGAAGCAACAGCAGCTTCTCTTGTCTGCTTCAAGAGACCTTGGACCTTAATAATCTCCGGAGGTTAGAAGTAGAAAAAGCCCAGTACTCTAGAAATATCTCTTCTTCATGTGGGGCCCCACGGACTCCTGACGACCTGAGAAAACGTGGTCTTGAAAACTACATGAACAAAATGTAAAGGGGCATCATCCAGATCGCCGTCATTTACAGCTGATCTGCAGGGAGTAAGGTGGCGTCTTTCTTCTGTACGTACGTCAAGTTCGGTGGCCCCTCTGTGATGTGTTCTGACATGGAAATCCCCTGGTCACCGAAAGCACGCACATCTTGACCTGTGTGTTTACCTGCTTTGTGCCCACTAGTGGGAAGCTGCGATGTGAACAATGTCCCTCAGAATGATCAGCAAAAAAGCGAGTGGTCGAGAAAGTCTGTAGCAAATCGTACTTCACATGCCACACACCGCTCAGGTCGTGAGATGTCTTTTCACAGAACTGCTATGGGTTGCATGAATATTTGGTTTAAATTCATCTGTCTCTTATATACTCGCTTTTCCTCCAGAGTACTTAGCATAGGACTTCAAAAGGCACTCAATAAATATTTGCTGAATGAATGTAACAGGAATTAATAATACAAAATGTTTTTGAAAAGGTAATTGATGTCAAATGGTAGGCAGAGAAAGCCAGAGAAAGTTCACCAGGGATAGGAATGCTGTATACAAATTTGGTACAGTGTCCAAGGAAAGAATTTACACTTAATAAATAACTTTTGAAACCAGGTTCTTTTATGTCATTGCCTCTGGACTAGGCCACACTGGTGGCCAGAGAATCCCAGACAAACAAACTCTGAGAGCAGTTTGACAAAGGGAAGTATAAACAATAACTAAATGTTAGAAAGGATCCTATGAAAAAACACTTTGCCATCAGCTTTTCAGAAGATCTTTAAGAACAGAACACACACACGCACACACGCACACCTCTCAATTCTTTATGGAATAAAAAGGGCGAACACGATGACATACAGAGGGCCCTGACATCCTGACCATAGCATGGGAGACAATAAATATTAGTGTATTTTTCTTCACGTTGCGCCTCAAGGCCCAGGTTAATACAGTGCAGCAGAATTTTGACTTACGCGATCTATGTCCTGGGTCTGGATTGTCAAACACAAAGTCTTAGCTTTTACACATCATAACAGATATAGCAATTGATCCTATCTGTACGATATGGGGGGCGGGGGCAAACTGAGGAAGCTGCGCAGTCCAGAGATAACCTTCTGGGGGATATGCCCAGCCCAAGCATAGTTTGATGGCCCAGATGCCAAGAGAAATCAACATCTGGGCATGTCTGTAACCCATTCATCATCTAACAGTGCCCTGTGCCCCATCCATTGGGAAGCTTTGTCTTAAAGAATGCTCCTCAGGATAATCAGCCATCGATCGGGTGAGTTTGCAGCAAACGATACTTCGCATGCTGCACTTTGGTAGGGAGTCACGACGCAAATTAGCAGATGAACAAATTAAGGCTCTGAGAAGACTGGTTTCTCTCTTTTTTCTCCCCAGTAGTTTTCAGTCTGCTTTAACCGGGCCACTTCTTTAACCTCTCACGGGTCTAAGCAG